TTCTCCATCTACGCAAACAAGTTACCCCGCGTCTACGCCACCACATGCACCTCCGTCGCCGACGCCGTCAACACCCGATCCATCAACAACTGCAACGTCCTCTGCGTCTCTGGAATGTCCACATCACCGGAAGATGCACTCGAGATTCTCGATGCTTGGCTCAAAACCCCATTCAAATCCCCTTGTCCTGCCTCCGGTGACCAGCCCTGGCCGACCGATATTCAATCTTTCCTCGAGAATTCCACCGCCGAGATGGCCCAAATCCCTAAACCCGATTCCTCTTCTTCAAATTGCGCCATCTGTTGCTTGAGGAAAGAGCTGGTGTTCCAGCCGGTGGAAATCATGCCTGGCGCTGAGATGAAGATTGTGAGAGAGAGCCCAACCTCAGCGGTGGTAAAGTTTAAAGCTGGAAGCTTGGAGCCGGCTCACCACCACACATTCGGGCATGATGTGCTGGTGATGAAAGGGAGGAAGAAGGTTTGGAATTTAGATAAAAACGAAAGCTATGAGCTCGGTGAAGGAGATTACTTGTTTACACCAGCAGGAGATAAGCACAGAGTAAACTACTTTGAGGACACTGAGTTCTTCATAAGGTGGGATGGGGATTGGGATATCTTCCTGGATGAAAGCCTGGAAACTGCCGCTGATGCAATCAAGCTGGAGCTTGAAGGAAGTAAGTGATGCGCTCTCTTCCATATCTTCTGCAGAAATCGTATGAGTAATAATATTGAAGTTTGGGATTTGTGTTGTCGGCATGCTATCACTTTGAACATTATGGAGCGGTATTTTTTTTTTTTTTTCGTTTCTTGTGGTTATATCTTAGAAGTCTGCAAACATGTTTTTGTAGTCTCTTTGCTATCATTTTTCTTGCAATTTGTGACCCTACGTATTGAGTATCACTGAGTCGGATTCTGTACTGTGTTTTGGCTTTGTGGCTCATGCGGAAGGCAATAAATGGTGTGGTGGCATGTAATAAGATATTGTAAGCTTTGCTGAATAATAAAGGGTTGCTATTGGGTCAAGTTTTTTCTTGTATTGTGATACGATATTGTTTCATGAATTTTGATAATCTGCAATTTGAGAATGCTGGTAACTCCAGAAATTTGATGAGGGAGGAATGGAGAGGAGAAGAACAAATTAAGAATGATAAATGACAATTTGAGGCTCCTGATAACTCCAGAAATTAGGAAGCGGGAGAGAAGAAGAAACAGAAGTAGAAGGAGATGCTTACCACATGTATATTCTATTCCTCAATGTCTCTAAATGGAGTTATTCATAGAATACAAGATTATTAATCTTTTTTTAATCAAGCTATTAACTAATTAATAATCCTTAATAAGCTAATACAAGATATTAAGTATTTGATATTTTAATTACTCTATCATATTGTGTTTTTGATCGTTTGAAAACAATTTTTATTAAACGAAAGAAAAGCCCTGACGGAAAATTATAATGATTGATGGAGCTTTTTTAATTGCATTTGTGAATATAAATTGTTTTTAGTTACACAACTTAATGTTATTTATGTAACATTTAGACATGTTAGCCCCGAGGTTTTATTTGTTTTTGGAATCAGATCAATACGTTAAAGGAATTTGGATGAACTCAGTTTGCTGGATTACGTTTAGTTGTGTCTGGATTGCAGAAAGACTGATAAGGCTTGAGATTACCTACTCTTTGGCTCGGAAACTGCTTCATAAGGATTTGGATAGGGCAAATCAGGCTACTGATTCAGTGAACATAAATTATTATATTATGGGACATTTACATACACCCAATTCCTATGTATTTACATATCAGTATTAAGGAAAAATGTCAGCATAAATCTTGAAGGGATCAAGCAATTAAATGGAAAACCCTTATTGTCTATCGGAATTCATACGGAGCGTCATTAATCGAGTCCAAACGACATGCTAACTTAATGCATGTGCCCAACCAATCGGTAAATCCATTGAATATAGACGTTCGATAGAATCAGTCGGCCTACATAATCAACCAAGGCGTAGATTACCATCAGTCAGAGTTAATATCTTGCAATAGTTTGACTCCATAGTCATGGCTATTCATGATAGTTGTGCCCATTCAGTTATTTATATTAGAAGGGTGGTTACATTAACTGCCCGGGATTAGTAAGATGACCGTTCATACCCTTTAATTGACAAGAGAGTAAGGGTAACAATATAATTGTAAATTGAAGTCATCTATGATTATAAATAGGGGGTGGTTCTATGAATAAAAGGTTACACACTTAATTTCTGGAATTGACGCTGCCTTTCTGTCTCTCCCTTTTCTCTTTTTTTGTTCACACTCTAACTCTCGAAGTGTGTCTACTCTAAGATAATTTATAATCAAACATCCTAAAAGGTGGTTCAGCGAGAAGCAGAGCGCTGTGAGAAGAAGAAACCAACCAAAGAGACACGACCTCAATGCAAGAGCAAATTCAACAATAAATTCAAGAGTTGCGGAACTAGATGGCTGGTCAATTTAATACCCTCCATGAGGTGATTACTCGAGGGTGAGATCAATTGCCTCCCTTCGAAGAAGAGTTCCACGGAACTCAACCTCCCAGGGTTTAACCCCGAGAAGAACAATCAGGCCTTAAAGGTTAGAGAGAAGTCCTATTAACTGAAGAGCGAGAAAATTTCCAATATGACGACAATGTTGGATCTACTCTGATGGAGAGGAATCAATCGACACTATTCGAGGCTCTTTGAATGCCATTTTCAGTGAGACCGTTCTTCCAACAGATTTAGTAAGCCAATCCATTGGCTAAGTTCTGAACCCCTCACTTGGATTCTTATAAAGGAAACACTGATCCGACCAATTATGTAGCTTCTTTTGAGTTAGCAATCAAATGGTTGTGGATTAATGATGCTATGAAGTGTCGGTTTTTCCTAAGCATGCTAAAAGAGACGGATCTCAGGTGGTTCAATAGTCTCCTGGTAGAAGTAATACCTTCTTATGTTGAATTCAAGAAATTGTTCGTGGGCCACTTCACCAGCGTCCAGAAGCTGAAGAAGAAATTATGTGCCCTGCTGCAGCTCAAATAAGTTGAGAACAAAAATCTTCATTCTTACATTGTCTATTACCAAAAGAAATGCAGGATGTGCAGGATTTGCAACCAATAATCGCACAAACTGCCCTAACTGAAGGAGTGAGAGACGCCCGCTTCAAGATTGATTTAGGTTTGTGTGAGCCCAAATCTCTGGTTGAACTGTTGGAAAGGGCCAACAATTAAATCATTGCCAAGGAGTATGTAACCAACTCCTCTTAGCCAAAGGCAGATACATTATTATGTTGTTTGTTGATTAGAGCGACACCGGTTACGATCACATAGTTCTATCATCCTGGTTTCACTATTTTCTTTTGAATTTATTTAGTCTAAACGATATGTTAAACTCATTTAAACTGAGGAGATCTCGTTATCAACCGTAGATTACCTCATCCGAGAGAATCCCATAAATTCAAAAGAACGTTTTATATTGTTTGTTGTTTTTTTAAGTGTTTAGGTTTAGTTTTACTTTTGAAAAAAAAAATTATCTTAATTTTGAAAATTATTGCTTTGAGTTTTGAAAAGTGTTCCGACCAAGCATGCATAATACATTAAGCAGTAGTGATCACTCAAAGAAAAGGGCTTGCCCATGATGAAAAATGGAAGGTGAAGAATAATCAGTTGTATGCACCAATCGTTCCTCTATTTGGCTTCTCTGACGACAAAAAGAAGCCCTAGGTGTCATTGCTCTATGTGTTTCCTGGGGTGAGCATAAGAAGCACTTTAATAACACCAAAGACTTCTTGGTGGTTAAATCGCCACTAACATACAACGATATTTTCAGTCATCCACTATTGAATAGTTATCAAGTGGTAGCATCGACATATTACATAACATTGAAATGACCTGCGGAGAGATTATTATCATTCGAGAAAATTTGGAGCAATCCCGGAGGTGCTATCTATGAGCAATTACCAACGTGGAGCAGGTTCCGATCGATATATAAATCCGAAGAGAAAGGGGTCTCAAGACCAGCGAACCAATCCTTGAGATAACAACATTAAGCAAGCAAAGACCTTAGTAAATTTTTTTCTAAAAAATGGCCATGTTGATGCACGATACAAGAGCATGTGATACAAACTCTTCAATAGCATTAACACTTTTTGCTTGAACAACAATTAAAATGCTTGAGATAACAATTTCTGTGCCATGCCACCATGTGAGCATCAATCCATCAGACTAAACAATACAACAGAAAATCGGATTGTTAGTCATAACCTTTGTCGGGCCAATTATCAAGAAAGTGAGGAAGCTGAAGGAGGTATTTCAATTAGCGTTTAGAGGTCCAATATCTAAACTAGATCTTCAATCTGCTGATGTGAAAAAATCATACCGTAAATGGAGAATATGTGAATTTCACAAACCTCAATAATGCCTGTCTGAAGGACAGTTATCTTTTGTTGAAGATGGATACACTAGTTGATGTGGGGGATGTTATTTAGTAATAATCTTTTGGATGCATTCTTTGGATATCACCAGATTAAAATGTGTATGATCATCATAGAAAAATTGTCTTTTATTACTAGCAAAGTTGCATTTTGTTTTAATGTAATTTCCTTTGGATTAAGAAGGTTGGTGCAACATACCAACGACTTATGTATGTAATATTTTTTGATAAAAAAGGAAAAATATTGAAGTGTACATTAATGATATTTTAGTAAAGAATCGATCAACAGAATCATACATTAATGACTTGAAAGAAACATTTTCAACCCTTAAAAAATATAACATGAAATTAAATCCACTAAAGTGCACCTTCTAGGTCTCAACCAAAAAATTTCTCGTTTATCTATTAACCTCAAAAGGTATATCTAAAGAAAGTAAAAGCCTCGATGGATATGCAAACCCCTCGAAATACAAAAAAGGACCCAAAAATGACCGACCAAATAGTCGGGCTTTGTCGCTTTATCTCAAAATCGGACGACAGGTTTACTGCTTTCCTTAGGGTGCTATATAAAAACAAGCATTTCGAATGATCAGATGATTGCAAGTAAGCATTCTAGATTTTGAAGAATTCTTTGTCAACGTCACCACTCCTCCAAAGCTCAACAATGAATGAAAAGCTATCCCTTTATTTGGGAGTTGAGCAGGAGGCAGTTAGTTCAGTGCTTGCCAGAAAAAAAAACAGAGGAAGCAATATCAGGTCTACTACATAGTCAAATCCCAGAGGCACTAAAATCACATACCATATGATGGAAAAACTAACTCTTACTTTGGTTGTTCTGGTTTCCAACTCTAATTCTAAGTGCACTCAATCCAGATTATCACTAACATCCTTTGAAGTATGTTTTCACACAATTAAAACATTTCAGTTGACTCCTTAAGTGAGCTCTAGAACTAAGTGAGATCGACATTTCCTATGTAACTATAAGAAAATCAAAGCATAGGGGATTTCAATTTTCTTGGTAAATTTTTCCTAAGTCAGTAGAATTGAGCAACAGAAACTCAAACAACGAGTAGGTATGAACCCTACATAATGATGGATCTTCTAAATAATCAAATTAAGGAATAGGTTTGGCTTTAAATATCCATATCAGTGAACACCTCTACTGATTGATCATGGTGGATTCTGAAGTTACCAATGTTATTTTATTTAGCCATATCAGTGAACACCTCTACTGATTGATCATGGTGGATTCTGAAGTTACCAACAACTAAGAGGAATACAATGCTCTGATTACGGGACTACGACTAGCTTATGGGATAGGTGTTCCTAGTCTTCATATGAGGTCAGATTTATTGTTGGTTGTGAACCAAGTAAACTGAGTATTTGAAGTAGAGATGAAAGCATGAAAAAATATCCCAGTAAAGTCAAGCAAGTGATAGGGAAGTTTATGATGCATGGAAAAGTTATCTATTATTGTTGATTGAATTTATACAAGTTCATGGATATGATTAAACTTTAAGAAAGTTATTTGTGTGTTTATCTTGTAGGTACAACAAGTAATTTAAGTGAGGAAGCCAAGAGAG